ATTATAACACTAGCACCTGTCAACAAAATGAGAAATCCAGGAACAACTTAATAAAGAGCAGACAATTATCTTTGCGACAGGGTCATCATGACCATGGACATGGGCCTCATAACCACCGTACCAACACCTTTCAGAACAGTTTTGCATCAAGAAATCCCAATTCTATTAATACATATATACGTAATTCAGGAGGACACGATTGGCCATTTGATCGATTTAACAGGTTCAATAGAATACACCACCACACAGTACCATATTTCCTTATGCTTCATGTACAACTACATATGTATCGGCGATTACCAATTACATGCATAATCTACCATTTTCCCCCTTGTATATTCCTCCCTGCAGGAGCCGTGCGACTGACCATTCACATCATCATACACCAATTGTTTCACCGGTGCACCCGGCAGTACCGGTAGTACCGGGGGTACCCACCGGACCAGCAGCATCCACAGTACCAGGAGGACAAGCAGTACCAACAGAACAACCTCTAGCACCAGCAGCACCAGCAGCACCAGCAGCACCAGCAGCACATGCAGCACCAGCAGCACCAGCAGCACATGCAGCACCAGTAGCACCAGCAGCACAAGCAGCACCAGCAGCACAAGCAGCACCAGTAGCACCAGGACCCACACTAGGGAGTGTAATTAATGGTGCTATTCACACTGTTCTCGGCAATGATCCTTATTCACCATATCCCTGCTATGGGGGATTTAGCACGCAATTTGTAAACCCGATAGTATCAAGGTTTAGGGGTTTATATTAGCATGGTATAGGATTGATATCACATGCATTACTCGCAATACCAATAATTATTGGACTTCTTATTCCCTTCCCATTGTGGTAAGCCTTATATTGTCTAAGTGTTTTTTGTATAATGCAAAAGAAATAATACAAAAAAGAGTGTATTGTATTTATCAAAATGAAAAGTATGATTAATCAATACAATGGGCCTTGTATATGATTCAAATTAGTAAAACAGAATATCACAATATTATAAAAAAAATAAAAGACACCCAAATGACTAAATTCATGAATATAACTTATAGTTAATTACTCATTTATGGAATGTTAAAAAGGATACAATCCATATGGCATATTCTACGTATCCTATACAATTATGTGCGTTTTTCAATGTATTCATACAGATTTTTTCTTTAATATATAAATATTCTCTAGTAACTTCTTAATATATTCTTAAATATTGTTTCTCCTAAGAAATATCCATGCATTAACACATAAATATAAAGTTATATCAAACTTTTCATATGTTCCTATGTGAATCTGTACAATTATTTGTCTTATGAAAGCCACAAATTTTCAACATTTAATACATGTTTATATATAAATTATTCATTTTTATCACATCTTACACAAATATTTGTCAGGAAACAAATTATGCGGAGAAGGCACAGGATTCAAGCACAAATGTGAAGTTTTCCAAAAGATGCTAACTCACACATATCAGAAGTGTTAAAGAACAAACTTGCTGTTCATTATGCGAAATATGAATAGAACCCCTCTACGTTTTAAAATGTTGTTCGTGCATATCTCTTAACTTAGGCGTCGCTTTTTGTACACTTCTTATTTTGTCTATACACAAGAATAGCTGTGTTACCACAATACTAATTTGCTGCAGCTCCCTGTGTAGGCATAAAACTCGACAAAGAACATTTTTTAAATATTCAGTACATCACACGGTTAATGAACTTTTGAAGGAGCGATATTATTTCAAAATTTGTTCGTGTACTCACTAAAAAATAATTATAGGTATGCTTTATTTCATACTACCAAATGAGAAGGAGCGGTGCCGCACAACGTACTCATTAAAAGTACCAATACATGCGCAATCTACTAATACAAAACAATTTGTCCATTAAAAATTTTTTTTTTGAATAGCTAGAAATGTCATAGAACCAGAAAAATATATACATACTACTGTTGAGATTGTTCAAACAGATGTTGCCGCTCTGTGGTGACCCACATTTTAGCTTGCGAAAAAAGGGTGAATTTTTCTTCGCGATCAGCCGAAAGAAAATAAAAAATTTGGTCATGTTTATCTGTCTACAGGTTTTAGGGTTCATGGTTCAGCGTTCAGGATTCTAAGTTTTAGCAGGTTTAGACTTTAAGGTTTAGGGATCAATGTTCCGGTCTTTACGCGATTTAGGACGTTTAGGAGGTTTAGAATTTTTAACATTTAGGACTTAAATTTAAATAATTGCGAGGTTGGCGTTTCCGTGTTGAATATGTAAGGATCCCAGTTCCGGTGTTTAGCAGGCTTAAAACTTTAGGGCTGTTTTTTTTTTTTTTTTTAATTAGTATTCTGCGTGTCCGTATAAAAGTAGTCCAAATAGTAACGTTGTTTCGCGTTCCTTTTGGGAACAGTGGAATGGAGCAGTGGAATGGCAAATGCCAACGCTTGGTCCATTTTCCACTGGGTTATATTTGTGCGTGATTGTGCGTTGCGTGTGGTTTTGTGCTTACCTTCCAGAGGAAGCACGCAATGATGCCAATACCAACAACCGCTGGAATGATCGCGGGGGTGTAGGGCTTGATATCTTCCCATGTGAGGCCGGGCGGAACGGAAGGGATGTCAGGGGTAGGAGCAGCCCCTGCACCACTAACACCACCATTAATAGCACCAACGGCAGCACCTGGTGCACCATCCTTTTGACCACTCGCACCTGCCTTTGTTTCCCCACCAGAAACTCCAGCCGCCAAATCGGCATCACTGAAACTGCCACTACTGCCCGATCGATCTGGGTTCGGGTTCGGTTTTGGTTTGGGTGGATTCAGAGGAGGGGGGTCATCATTGCCGCTACCAGCGGCGACGGCATCGCCTGAACATGTGGTGAATGGGGAGACAGGGAAAGGGAAGGAAGAAGTATGATGAAACTGAACTTTATGCAGTGCGAGATTGGCCACGGTTGCCGCTTGCCCGCTGTCCGTCGCTGCATTGTTCGACCACACGATTGACGGCGGTTGTCCGTCGTTTCACGACATCACCGTCTCTGGATGGTTGACTACGCGGTCGGCACCATTGGTGCCACGGGAACGAAGGCAGGAAGGACGGAACGGCGGGGAATGGCGTCGGGGCAGGGAAGCACGGGGACATGGTGGCAGGGTGCCACCCCGCGAAAAGACTGTCTCTGTCCCACACAACACAACACACAGACAGTGTGTGTCTGCATCTACGTCGACGTCTACCTGTCTACGTCTACAACCGGCGGCCGACCCATCGCGCCGGCGCGCACTCTCATTCGACGTTTGGTTTGTCGCTGTCCGTGTTCTGTTTCCCTGTCTCTCCGGAAAAGTTGTTGTTTCTTTTTTTTTTTTTTTTTGTTGTGGTTTATGCTTCCTAATATTCCACTCGCGGGATGCCTCGCACATAAAGTGCCCCTGTAGGGAGTAATCCCTAGTACAGTGTAATTACAGGGGATACACCGGCGGGAGGATCATTATTCTTATACTTCTCTGTACCTGGCTCAGGGACAGGAGAATTATAATCTTTGTATCTCCTCTCAAGCTGCTCAATATCTTCAGTGGTAGGAGTCTGGTAGGAGGATGTACTGCCAGTGACTACCTCTATTTGGCGCGTTGCCCCTATTGCAATAACGTTGACGGGTTTATCATCATCATGTGGACCGTTACTATTCGTACTGGTCCGATCTTCCTTACCTGAAGTTTCAGTGCTCGGTTTAGGACTGACACCCTGTGTAGTTGCTGTGTTCCCGGGTGTTTGTTCTGTCGATTGATCTGGTCCCCCTTTTCCTCCCGTGTTGTCCTGTGCAGGTGCTGATGGTGGTACTGATGGTGACGGTGATGGCGGAGGCGCTGCCTTAGGTGGCTCGTTGTCTGTGGCGGATTCATCTACCCTTCCTACTGGTGATCCGGGCCCAGATGCTTGTGGTGTTGAGGAGGATGGTGTTGCCTGTCCGGTCCCCTGTGATCCTGCGGCTGCCGCAGGCTTCTGTGTGTTAGTATCTGCGGATGATCCGGCCACCTGGTCCTTGTCCTTGCTGTTCGCTGTAAATGAAGACGGAAGAAATATGGACGAAAAGATGATAAAAAAAAAAGAACACAAGTGGTACAGAAAGAAGGGGCCGGGACGGTTCGATCAGGTAGCGGCAGCAAGCGGACGGTGTTAGACAGAGTGCACGGTGTTAGAAGAGGACAAAGACAGGAATAAAGCCGGGCGCACTCGGTGGACTGCGTACGCGGTGAACTTGGGCTCGATGGGAGCCGTACAACTTTTATTTGTCGCCGTCATCTCGTTCGCTCCACACTCCTCTACATTGGCCACCGCACACCGCCGCTGTCGCTGCCGTCGTGGCCACCGGTGTGCTGGGCTAAACGAACGGCAGCCCAGGGAAGCGAATGCGCTGTTCCGCCGCGTGCGCGTGTTTTGGCCGTGTGCGTGTTGTTGTTGGCGGAGACGTCCATGTTCGGCAGTATGCGGCCGCGTATTCGTGTGCGGCCGTACGCGTATTTGGCCGTGTGCGGGGCGTATTCGTGCTTTCTCCCATCGGTCCTTACCTGCCGGTGCCTGCGGTGTTGCCGGCTCAGTAATCGTCGTGGCGGGTTTGGCCGGTTCTTTGCCACCTACGTTACCAGATAGCGCTGGTGTACCGCTGTCGACAGAGTTCCCTACTCTGGCCTTACTGTCGGCATTCCCTCGAGTGCTACGGGAGACCGGTTGGATAGACTCCATGCATTTCCCATCTTCCCGCTCGCATTTCTCTACCGCCTTCTTTACCCCCTCAACCAGTATCTTCATCCCCTTGCCTAATTTCTCTATAACTGACTTTTCCGCATCCGTCATCTCAATTTGTGCATTAGCTCCCTGTTTACTGGGTGTGGCCCCCCCAAGTTCGTGTATCCCTTTCGTACATATGCGTTGTACTTCTGGACCTTTAAATTTTTCAGTCAACGTCTTGTTGGTCTGTAACCAGTTCTTAATCATTTGCTCCATGTCGAATTCCTCGCTTTTTATGTTTTGAAACTGTGCCTGTTCACATTTACCTGTGGTTATTAAACCACCCCCTAGCTCTGGCTCCATCTCTTTCATTGTGTACCATGCATAATATACACCCATTGCACTTTTGCATGGAGATTCGTTCAATATGTACATGAATATATTTACTATTGCGCACCTTATATGTTCCTTCAACTGTGCATTCTTAGGGTCTGTATTTGCCCCCTTCGTAGACTGTCTACCCCACCCATTCATGAAAAATAATGCTCGTGACATGAGTCTGCACATAATCCTGTCGCCCACGTTAGCTATGGCCGTTCCTGTGCCCCCGGTCGGACGCTTGTAACCCTGGTTTAAACAATTGGCTGCAAGGGCGTCTAGGTCCTCATCGTGCATATATTTCACAAATTCGTCGAGTAGCGCTTTCATATCGTTCCATAAGCTTTTCTGCATGGTGCACAAGGAACATATATGTGTGTGCATAATTGGCCACATTAGCTTGCTCTTCCATATTCATATGTACACATACTATTGTACGTGCTGCACGTACGGTATGTTCCCATTGTATGATTAATATAGAATTAGTGCACGGTCGCATTCGTACAATATATACACAGGCGTGTATATATACTATCGTATATAGAGGCGGTTATAATTACACTACGCGCCGCGGTCTTAATCTTAATAAAATACCTTATAGTCCTCCGTGTTGACTATACCCCGTGTTTTCACATAATGTAATAATAAAGCCGCTAACGTGTCATACGACATATTGTCACTAGGATGCAGCAATAGATTCCAACGGATGAAAGCATTATCTCTCAGATAACGGCTTGAGTATAATATGGACACAATATTCTATTACGTATTATTTAGTTTCATATGGAATGGAACATGTCTTCCAGTATAGGGTGCCTGCGGAAACATGTCCCATGCACGAACTATGCCCTATCTGAATTTAATCACACACCCTATAAATCGTGGGATTTGGAAGAAGGAAAAAAAGAAATCAAACAAGGGAAACAAGAAAAAAAAAAAAGAACCAAAAAAAAAGGACAGGAAAAAAAGTACTACACTACACTACCGTACACACACAACGCGTCATCAATACCACCCCGTAAAAACAACGCCCCGTCTCCACTAAACGCATGCACACACACTGTGTCTCTGTGCGTACACCTAAAACGAACAACAACAACATCAAAGTCTTCTTCCGTCGTTGTTGCCGTCGTTGCCGTCCTTCCCGCGGCTACGTCGTTGAATCGTTTACTCGAACGCCGTAATCGAACCTCTTTATTCGGCTACTGCGTCGAATCGTGCTTACACTCGGCCGCGTTGGTCGAAGCGCGTTTGCTCGGAGAGACAATCTCTCCTCCTTCTTACACTCGGCTACTTCGTCGACAATCCCGTTTACCCGTGCGCGTTTGGTCGGAGAGACAATCTCTCCTCCTTCGTACACGCGGCTACAATGCGGTTTACGCGGCCGCGTTTGCTCGGAGAGACAAGCTCTCCTCCTTCTTAGGCTCGGACAATCCGTCGTCGAGTCGTTGTTACACTTGGCCGCGTGGGTTGACGCGTTTGCTCGGAGAGACAATCTCTCCTCCTTCTTGCACTCGGCTACAATGCGGTTTACCCGGCCGCGTTTGCTCGGAGAGACAATCCTCCTCCTTTCTTACACTCGGACAATCCGTTTACGAGGACGCAGCGAGGAGGGCAAATTGACGTGGTTAGATTAGTATACGCACAGAGAGACAGTGTGTGAGGGCGTTTAGTGGAGAAGGGAGTGGGGGTGGTATTCATGATGCGTTGTGTGTAAGGTAGTGTAGTGTAGTACTTTTTTTTTTTCCTTTCTTCTACAGCAACAAGGCCGCCTAAGAAGAAGTAGTTGTTTGTGTATTTATCACGACTTCCATAAGCAGTTGACGGAAAAGGGGTTGACGGAGAGGCGTTGACGGAGAGGCGTTGACGGAGAATCGTTGACGGAGAAGCGTTGACGGAGAGGCGTTGACGGAAGAGGCGTTGACGGAGAACGGGGTGTGTGTATATTTTTGCTTGTTGTTGTTGTTAATGAACGCGGTAGTAGTAGTAGTAGTAGTCGCACTTTGTCGAAGAAGGCAAATAAGTGTTTTCATCTGTTCTCCTCTTTTTTCTTATTTTTTTATATTTTTTTTTTTTGTTCTGTTTTCTTCTGTTTCACTTTTTGTTTTCTTTGTTGTTCGTTTTCTTTTTATTCTTTTTTTCTCCTTTTTGTGTGCTTATTTCTTCAATATACGTATACATAACTTGCGGGTAGCATTTACATGGTCAAGGCTGATATAGTTTTTGAACGATGAGGAGTAATCTTTTATTACACGGGGAAAGTAGTTATAACAAGGCAACAACGACCATATGTATAGTAGGAAACGGGAAGACTAGAATATCTTGATGCTAATTTTTGGAAAGAACCAGGAGTGACGCGCAAATGTGAATCAAATCATATTCATATAACTGTCTATAGCAGGAACAATATGGCACAGCACAAACATTGGGCTCATCTAATTCGAGATTGGGCAGAGAGAAGAGGAATATGGAACCAGGAACAGTTGAATGTAAGGCAAATTTAAGTGTAAAGGATGGAATAGAGTGCGCATATATTGTATGGCACTATGAGTACAGAGTTCAGACAAGGGCACCTCCAATGAACTGTAATTTTCAGTACGCACATATATATGCATATAGTACATGCGGCCCTTGCCTTTTGTTTTCTACATCTTAGACGAAGTTATGGGATGACATTATAACCGTACTTGAGGCATTTGTAAAGTTCTTGGAAAGATTTGAGCAGGATGGTCTTATGGACACTTGGGCTACATCGTGTAATGATGCTGCCTACAGCGACCGCTATATAATGCGCGCGCACGACAAAGAGAGAACTATGTGCAGATTAATGATGGCGGCACTATATTTCAAGAATGGGTGGACGGGTAGCACCATGCATGCGGACAATGACTGGGGGCCGGACAATCCACTGCGGCAATTTGTCAAGTGTGCCATAGTAAGTATATATATGTATTACTTGCTAGAAATAAACTGTGGGGATACGACAGGTGTGGAGTATGCACTTCACATAATGAACGAACAGGAGCCGACTTTTGCGGCCACAGATATGGTTGCCAACGTATGCTATTGGCAGGAGTATGATCGTACGCAGATTGGGCAAAAGAATGTAGGCGGGGAAATTAGAGAATGGCTCAAGGGCAATGAATATATAGCACAGCAAATACAACAAATAGAACAAAAAGCGCCGTGCAAACGTAGGAAACAACCGGGAGCCACAGCAAAGAATAGCATTAGCGGGGACAACATAAAGGAAGAAGTTTTGCAGCAGATGACCAGCTTGAAACAACAAGTTCAAGACATTAAGGAGGGGCGCAAAACTCTGCAGGCACAACCGCCAGTGGCGGCAGAATCATCATCAACAACATCAACATCTTCATCGTCATCACCATCCGGGACGTCGGAGTCCGCGCCCACTAAACCCTCCACGGCGGCTACTGTGCCGGCAACACCACCAGGGGAACCGACAGGTAAGACCGATGGGAAAAAGCACGAATACGGCACGCACACGAACACGGCCGCATACGAATCATACGGCCACTACTCATACTGCCGAATATGGATGCCGCCACAAGAACGCAACGGCTACAACACGCACACGCGGGGGAACAAAAACAACGCACGCGGCGGAACAGCACAGCAAACGACTTCGCTGACGTTGAGCGCTGGCGGAGCGAACGCATATGAGTGGCGATCAGTGAGGAGCGTACCGTTCGCAGAATGCAGTGTAGACGAGTGTGTAGCGGTGATGAGTCTGCAGCGGTAGCGGAACGGGGGGGGGAGCATTTCCCCCACGGGGTGCAACATTTTTACGGGTGGAGAAGGGGGGCATATTAATGCAGCGCCACAATTGTGGGAGTGTTAAGAAAAAAAAAAAAAAAACGTTACATTTTATGAAAATACTTGCCATATGTTGCATCCAGAGTAATCATAATATAATGTTTGTTATATATAGGACATAGGGTATATATAAACAGATAAAATGTAGTGGAGTGTATTGCCCTTGGAACTACGTTCCCTCTTTTCATAATATGCAACAAACATCTGATAATATGCATAAACAGTACAACATATTGAAGCAACCATACATATATATTCGGATACATGTACACACAAAAATTATAGTGTACAAAACAGGACTATTGGATACATGCTATAAAGCAACAGTAAGCCATATCACACAAGCAGTATACAACATCATTAAAAAGGTCGATCCATGACATAGACGAATAAGATATCATAACGTCGAAATAGTCTACCACAAATATAATACGGCACATACTTATGGGTTTTTAGGTAATTTCAGTTTCCACGGTACTTTTAATTTCCCGCGTGCTTCCTGCCTCTCAGGTCCTCCCTGTTTCTCGGATTCTCCTGCCTCGTTAGGTGCTTCCGGGTTCTTATTTACTTCTCCTTCGTTTTTTTCCGTTTCTGTGCGAGTTTCGTCCTTGCAAATTCTGTTTACTATACATTTTCCCTACTTCGAGCACCAGAAACATACTAGCACTCAGGAATAGATAATTGGAATCAGCATGGAAAGTCCGTACCTGGTCATGAACGGCACAAAACCGCTTCCTCCACTAAACAAATAAAACATCACAGTCAACATGTGTCCTCCTACTTCGGACACAAATAATGGATATAGAACTGAGGAGACTAATATGAGTTTTAACCGTGCTTGTCTGCCCATTTTACAACGTGGAAATTTCTGCCAAAGTTCATTGAGCTTGTTGTGCGCTGTTGCACCCTGTGGCTTCGTCTTTACATGTCGTGGCTCCTTTATTGGGACATTGGATGTTAACTTCTTACGCATATCATCGAACACCCTGTTCTTCGGTGCACCCGTAGACTGACCATCGTAAAAATTACGTTGACCCCGTTGCCGTACATGCGTTCCATCACTCAACGACACGATGGTCGTTCCAACGGTAGTCCCATCTATCGTGTCATATTGGCTTGTTCCATTGCCCAATGATGTGCCTATTGTACTCGCCTAACACAAACAACAACGGGAATACATGGGTTTGTTATGGTGTATATAGAATGATGTAGAATGTGCAAATGAGTGGACGGGTGATAGGTTTATAGTTGTGTTGAAGGAGTCAGCAGCTTATCACAACAAATGTGGTAACTGCTCCAAAATGCACTTGTTTCTGCCACACACAGTCAGCGATTTGCCCAAAACACAGGACGAGAATAAATATATAGAATTTCACAAGCAGCGTCATTTTGTTTCTTCTTTTGCCTTTAGAAAATGCTAGAAAGGGCGATATGTTGCGTGTTTATATGTATGAACTACAGAAATACTATTTTCTCTTCTTCCACATGTAGGTGTATAGATTATGCGTGTAATACTTTTCTTCATCGGTTAATGATGAATACTGGTAAAATCAATTGCGTACGAAATATACTATTCTTACCTAGGTATGTACATATAAATTACATGAAGTATACATATGCGCAATAATATAAATAAAGAATAAGAGAAAGTGCATAAGAACCCCGGATAACCCATTGTTGGTACATATTGTACGACGTAAAAGTTGACTAAAGGGGTCAACATTTTTCCCAATTTCAACACGGGCTCATCAATAATGTCGCCGTTTTAACGTTGTAATGGCGTCAAATTGTATACACCGGATTATGGAATGCCGCAAGTGGAATAACACTGTACTGGTTTTAAGTTAGATATAAGAGTGAGAAAGATAGTGACCACAAGATTAGATATGCCCCTTTTACATATAAGAACGGCGACAACTATTTGTGCCTGGGCTGGAGGGTCGGATGGAGCGGCGACGACGGCAGCAGTAGCTACGACGACGAGTGTGGAGCGGGCATGCATGTAGAGTGTGCGGAATTTATGGATATAAGGGGATTATATGTGGATACTTTGCTCCACAATATTTGAGAGCCGCACAAAAACGAGGCACGGTATATACGTTGTTTCCGTGACAAAAGCTTTCATAGTACGTAATGTCATACAGGACGATAATGTTGCCACAATGGATGCTGTCGCAACGAACGATAGTGTTGTCGTGGATATAATTAAAACTTTGAAGACATTTCTGACGTTCATCACAAATTGTTTGAATTAGAAGAAAAATAAAAACACATTTTATACATTATGAAAGTACTTACTATACATATTGCGCTTATGGTAATCATTATATATTATATATAGGGCACAATATACTTATGCATTATATACATATGGATTGAAGTAGGGACATACTCTTTTTTTCTCTCTAAAGTGTATGTCCTTTCTTGTATCACCCATGAACAGCTCATTATATCAATAAGCAGTACAACATATGCATACAAACTATGTATATTCGGAAAATTGTGCAAACCAAAATTATAATGTAGAACACGGAACTACAACGTGCAAGTTACAAACATGTGATTAACTCTATCGTACAAATAGTACAGAATATAATACACAAAAATATCGCTCTCATACATGTGTTGAATCATACCATAACATTGCAGTTGTTTACCAAAAGTAGAATAATGATGGTATATTCGATTCCGCAGGCACCGTCGGTTTCAAAGTGCTTGCGGTGTCTCCGATTCTCCGTCCTGTTTAGGTGCGTGCTGGTTCTCGGGTGTCTCTGGTTTCTTATGTGTTTCGGGTTTCTCAGGTGCTTCCGGTGTCTTAGGTGCTTCAGGTTTCTCAGATACCTCTGGTTTCTTAGGTACATTTGGTTTCTTGGGTACTGCACGCTTCTGCTCTCCCTCTGATGTAATTTTGTCCTTTAGAGCTTTCTTTGGCACTTTTGCTTTCCCCCTTCGGTAGTAGAAACGAATTAGCATGATCACCAGCATGAGTCCTATGCTCCCCGTGACTCCAAGGACCGAAGGCAAAATGTATTGTGCGTTATCATATCGCGAGGCTACATACAACAGTACTATGTAGAAACCAAAAACGGCCAATGTAGCGGGGATCCACCATTTATTCCTACATATAGTTCGCGCTAGTGTACTACAAAGTCCCCTAGTTTGCTCGCTCGTTTCTGTAATTTGTGCCGTCTTTTCTGAAGCTACTAATATCCCCTCGGATCCAACCTTAGCTTCTGGTTTTCCGGACTTCCCATCTTGCGCCGTGGTTTTCACGGGGACTCCACTTGGGTTAACGGGAGGTTTATTCTGTTCTGGTGTTTGCTTATCCGTTGCAGTCTTCACCGCATTGCCTCCATGCTTCCTGTCCTTCTTTTCAGTTTTTGCCTTATTCTGTGGTGACTGCGGCAACGACCCTTCTTCACCAACCTTCGATGTGGGTTTACCGGACTTTCCTGGCTTCTGGCCCGATGCGAGCTTTTTATCATGACCCTTACCAGGACTGCGCAGTAGTGTATTATTGGGTGGTGGTGCTTGCATATCCAATTCAACCGTCAGTAATCTACTAATCCTGACACCGACAGTGTCATTTTGCTCGGTCGTATGGTTCCATGATGTGCCGGATTCATTCGCCTAACATATAGGAAAAAACGGGGGAAGGATATACTTGAGGGCGTTATGCAATGCACAGGTATTTAGATAAAATAAGGGAAGAAAGAAGCGTTTTCAATTGTTAGGAGCACGAAGAACATCAGAATCATAAATGGGAATGCCCATTCTACGGCAGCGTTAATTATTGTGCCGTACGTTGTCGGGATATCGCAAAGAGTACAATATGAAGCCAAATATGGAAAGCTTGACAGGGAACATCATTTTGTTCTTTGCTTCTGTTCTTTGTTTGTTTTTTGTTTTCAGATTAAAAGGAGCTTCCTAAGAAATATATATAAATATCTTTTTACTAATAAGTAGGGGATTATATGAATATTGTTATATGCATTTGTGTTGACACTACATTGCTATTCTTTTGTTTGTGCATTCCAGGATTATACGATTGTTTTCTTTTCTTTATATATATACATGAATGATTGTTTCTTATTTTTTTTTCTTTTTTTCCTTTTTTACGATGCGCAAAAATGATTCGATTGCACCTTTGCTTTTTTTCTTTGTTATGTTGCATATGCATGATTTGTGTGACTTCTTTTTTTCCTATTTTTTCCCAAATAATTTGCGCACTATTCAATTATTTTTTGTTCTTTCTTACATATGCATTATGCAATTATGTTTTTTCTCTTTTTTTTTTAATATATTTGCAGATTTATAGCATTATTCTTTTTCATTCTTTTCCTTTTTTCGCTTTGTTGTTTTCCGTTTTTCCCTATACGCATGGATCTTATATGAGGCGACCTATAGTTTTTTTTTATTTTTCGCATTTTTTGCATGTATGCACCTTATTATCCCTGTTTTTTTCATACATGCACAAGTTACGGGCTTGTTATTTTATTCCTATTTGCACTTTTTTACCTATTTTTATATGAAATTATATGGCTATTTTCTTCCTGCTGTATATATATGGAACAGGCGAATGTAGGATCTAGTCTTACCTGTTGCCGACCGATCTTTTTTTTTTGTTTCTTCTGTTTAAAATGAAGCACTTTCTACGTGTGCATTTTTCCTTGTGAATGTCATTTATCTTGCATTTTTCCACCTTTTCTAAAATGTTTTCATTTAATTTTAATGGAAATGCATTGATACGTATAACAGTACACAAAATAACAGTAGTATGGTTAAAAATACACATACACCGTGCCAAACACAAAAAAAAAAAATATGGGCTTGCGCATTATGTTACGGATTTAAAGGAAGTTCGTCGACAACCATTTTGATGCTTCCTTGCGGCATAATATACCAGGGGGGAGTGCAGTTCATTGGGCACTACACCAACAAATAATCAGGTCGTACACTTTGTCAACGACAGAGCATGGAATATAATGATGTATATTCTGGAAGAATAAGCGTCGCATAGGTATCGCAGTATTATAATTGCTGTAATTCATGGATTGTGCATGCACAGGGGACTATGCCTACATCAGGGTTGTATGGCCTTCCGGGTTTGTGAATGTGTGCGGGGAAGTAGCCGTATACGAAAGTGTGCATATAAAACATAAATGTAGAAAGGAAACCCGCCTAGCAGCGGGACCAGCTTTACCACCACCACCAGATGATGTCGTCTTCGTTACCACCGCTGTTGCCGGTTGCGCCTCTACTGGTGGGGCAGGGCTGCCGGCTGCGTGAACGCCGTCTCCGTCAACGCTTCTCCGTCAACGCTTCTGCCGTCAACGCGTCTCCCGTCAAGGCACCTGCGTCAACGCCTCTCCGTCAACGCTTGTCCGTCAACGCGTCCGCGTACCACGGCGATTGTCTCCGAGCAAACGTGGCCGGGTAAAGGCGATTGTCCGAGTGTAAGACGGATTCGACGAAGTAGCCGAGTAAGGGGTTCGAGTGCGGGATCCAGAGAGAGAGAGAGCACAGAGAGCGGGAAGAGAGCGGGGGGCGGACGCAGGAACACACATATTATGTGGGAGGAAGACCGAGGGAAGGACGGCGGCAACGACGGAAGAAGAAATTGATGTCGTTGTTACACTGGGTTGTAGTGTAGAAGAAGGGGGTATTTGTTTTTCACGGGGGGTATTTGTTGTTAAGGGCGGGTATTTGTTGTTAAGGGGGGTACTTGTTTTGCAAGTGGTGTTTGTTGTTACGGGGGGTATTGTTCACGAGTGTTGTTGTTAAGCAGGTATTGTGCACAAGAGCGTTGTTGTTACGGATTTTAGTAAACAGGTGGAAAACATATTTTATGTATGCACCAACTGAAGTTTCTATTAGAGGAACATGTTTCCGAAGGCTAATGCTAAATTAATGTGGACTTTGACTAAGTATCACGGACACTGCCATCCTAAATAAGGACCATAAGAAAGAAGCCATGTGGCAGTATTTGAAAGTATTATGGGAGGATTATATAGCGACAAAGGATATAGGGGTGAAGCAGGATGACGATGTATTTAAGGTAGGTCCGTGCGTCTGAGGGAATGAGAGCACACTGGAGTGGTGTTATACAGATATGTTAGAATACTGTTAGGCACTGCTCTGGAGACGGAGTGCGTACCCTGTGATTATTTGCCCCTTATATATTTTATAAGGAAGGAAATATATATGGGTGGCGCGCGTTTAATTATGTATATAATAATATACAGCGGGGGTAAAGGAGTATTTTTTATAGGGAACCATGGAATACATACTATACTTATAGGAACCTGTTTGGAATAGCATAGGGGAAGTATGGGGGACCTTTCAGGATTATATGCAACGGGAGAATGATGATTTTATGATACACACATTATGTGGTGCATCCGACGATGACGAGGAGCCAGGGAAGAGGTTGGATGCGAAGAATATAGCTATATGTCACTTAACACTTAAAGCATTATTCTTTAAACATGGAATTAAATTGGGCGCGTCCAGTGAGACCCCAGAGAGTGCGAACACTGGGGCAGATGGCATAATGCCATATATGAAATGTATACTGACAAATATATTCATGAAGAGAATAATTGGAAGCACATGTGTAGAGGGAGCTGGTGGGACACGGGCATTTGACGCAGCATCTGGTTTCGTGGGTACGACGGGCACAGCGGAACGTAATTCTACATGTGAGAAAGCAGATATGGCACCAGGGGGTGACAGGAGCAAGAGGCCGGAAGATTGGACATTGCTGGACATAATGGGCAGGTGGTTTGATAGGAATAGAACAAGATTGCATGATGGGAAGGAGGGAATATTAGGGAAAGATTGTAATGTACAGTTAAGCCCCACCCGGAACAGCCAGAAGCAGGAAGTGATGACAGCGTTAAAGGAGAAAGTAAAGAACGAAATGAAGGTTGTGGCGGAGGAGATAACGACGGGAATACAAGAATTAAAGACAGAAATGGACAACTCTGCGATAGGCCAAGGTATAGGGAAAATATTAACACAAAAGGAAAAAGAGGAACACCACAAGGAGACACGTCAAAGGGAGGAACAGTCGAGACCACCTGCAGAACGCCCAGCCAAACCAGCACCAGCCCCACCAGTAGCGGCGACACCGGCATCACCACCGTCATCGGGGACGGGGGGGACGACGTCAACGGGGCGGTGGAAGCCGAGGAACACCCAAGAAGACAATTGTGAATGGAAGAACGTAATGGAGAAAGGGCATCCAGGACTACTGGTTAAAGCTAATTATAGTGTAAGTGAAAGTAGTACGGGGAGCGAACGCATAGAAAGAAATCGGAATTCAGGTGTGCAGGGAGAACTTATTCATGAGGCGTATGCAAATACAGGCGTATACATGTACCCAAAGCGAGGCACGTAGTTGAAGTATAAGCATAAATATTTCTTTATTTTCATACACATAATACAGCTAGAAGAACTGCAAAAACTAAACAAAGTGTTAGATGAATTTCAGCAACATATGGAGACTCATAGGGACAACATAGATAGCATAGGCGCAAACTGTGAAAATTATGGTTGGGATGATTTCACAGACGCACATGGTCACACAATAGGGCAAAAGGTAGCGGACATAATGCGATGCAGAGGTATCAGTACTGTATTGTGGTTTGCGAACAAAGAGGACACGGACAAGCAGGGTCAGGATGAAATGGTCAATAGGTTCCGGTGTGAACTAGCAAATGTATTGGGGTACATGCTGAAGAATAAGTATTGTAAAAACGAAGGAAATTGGAAGAGAGGTGTAGAATATGCCTGGCAAACTGTGCAGAATATGGGGAAGTCAGAATTCGGGACAGGGGCACTAACGGGCCCTGTTGTGGACAACAGGTGCACACAATGTGGCTATGAAGGTAGTCACACGCAGCTCGGAGTACTAAATGGACACATAGTACAATGGTTAATGCAGGCAGGACTCATGGGAGAAATAGGGAAAATAGAGGGCGACATGCCTTGTGAAAAGGACTGGAAGGAGTATAAAACAGGGAAGGACAGGAATGATGGCAGCGGAAAAGTGGACGAAACGAAAATAACTGAAGTGACGACAATGGAGAAGACAGTGCTAGAAGACACGGAGAAGGTAATTCAGGACGTAAAGGGGAAGATAGATGAGGAACTTAACAAAACTACAGGTAATCATACGAATACAAACATACGGCCCACACGACCCGTACGAATCGTAGGGATGCCGCCACAACAACACGCACGCATGGGGCAACAGCGATCAACGCACGGCGGAACAGCTGAACACACCGCTTCCTCTTCGCTGCCACACGTTGCTGCCCAACGTGGGTTGAACGGCGAGCGGCGCGGCCACGGCAGGTAGCGGCGACGGACAGGACGAGGCACCGGATGAGGGAGAAGGGACAAGATGACGGATCGGCGAGCAGGGACGGCGACAAATAAAAGTGTAGTGCTACCATCCATCCACCTCACCATACGATTGCTGCCGCTTCACTCAGTCCACCGAGTCGACCCGACCGTACCACACCGTCCCGCCCTTTCTTTCTACCACGTGTTTCCTTTGTGTATCATCTTTTCGTCTTTTTTTCTTATTGTAGCTAAGACCAATGACAAAAAGGCAGAAAGGAAGAGTAACGAGAAGAAAGATGAGAAGAAAGTAGAGAACACAGGAGAGAAAAAGGCTGACAAGCAGGATAAGGGAGACAAATCGCCGCCCGCCGCAGCGCCGGGAGCAGCCGGGGACAGGCACAGGTGAGATACATCAGTTGAAAACATGTCCCCCACAAAAAACAAGGAAAAAAACAAAACCTACTAGAGACGTATGTCCAGAATGCGGGCATATCTACATATGTATCATCCAACGAATCATAATAAATAATTTATGTATTCCGTCCCTTTAAAGAAAACAAGAAAATTTAAAAATTGCACATTTGTATAAACGTAAAAAAAAAATAGTAATTGTAATTATTTTTTATAAAAAAAACAGAAAAAAAAAAAAACAGGGAGGGCGATCCATTCCTCCTTTTTCCACGGCAACTTTCAAATTCGCCGTGGCTACATCATGTGTACCGCACAAAATATAATTATACGTAATTTATGAGTGCAATACGTTACACGAAAAATGCTCTCGGAACCTGCACTCCCAGTAGAGCCAGCACCCTGTCCTGGTGTGCCGCGTTCTCATTCTATTGGACGTGATAGGTTTTGCTAACGTGTCCCAGTGAGCTAATCAGCATCATTGTCGGGAGCAAGTATGATGTACATGTACAATAATATGCACACACTATGTAGGGTGTTCTTTCCATTTCCTTTTTTCGTAAAGAAAATCTTCATGTTAAATAATGCATATGTTTTAGGTAAATTAACATATTTTTCTAATTTTGTAACATACAGTAATGTTGAAAGTATGGAACGAGACAATATAAATGTATTGCATATGATCAAAAGTAAATTGTCACATAACTGATAAATATTTTCTGCTTCGCATATGGTAAATGCCGAAATAACATAAGCTCTTATATACCACATGAACCGGAAAAAAAACCAGAAAAGACATTGACTCAAATTCCTGACCTCTGTTATGTTAGCAACTCTCAAGGAAATATGCCGGAGTAACTATTTCATGTAACACCTAAATTTTATATTACATACAACAGCATTTTCCGTAATAATATTTTCTGCATTATTCTGTTCCTCAGGAATATTTCCTACATCCATATGATATACATTTTTATATTTTCCATTTCAATATTCTGTATTTTAATATTTTTTACGATATTACTTTCTATCATTCTAAGGGCTCACAGATTTATAAATTTTATGATGAACATTTTACTAAAATATTTTAAATAAAATGCCCTATCATTTTGAACAGAAAAAAATGCTTAAACCTAAAGCCCCCTGAGCCCGAAAAAATTCCATCCTGTTTAATATATACAAAAAACCATACTGAGTCTTTTCAACCATTCCTTTCATTCTTTATACAATCAAATTAAAACAATAAGATGTAAGTGCATACATAGAACTTTTTTTTTTAAAATATACAAATATTTCTTCCTACTCCACCGGCAAAAGTATGATATAGTTGAAAAATGCATACTTGTTTTTTTTTAAAATAACTAACCATTTTTCAATTAGATTTTAATGCATACAATATATATTAAAATGGGTCCTGCCCTGTTTTTGAGGCATTACCCCATGCCTTACATACACTATTGTATATATTAATTGTTCATTTAATCAATATTTCTAAACTCATGATAATGCAGAGCATATTACATACTCAAACGATTCCACTAGTATTTCCTGTTGACAAAGAAAAGAAGTACCCGCATAAATGAGCACACATAGATGTTGAAAAAACTAATAATCCTATAGTTGCTACATATATATAAAAAAAGAATATATAGCCAGTTGTAACATTGTCTACACTAAAGGGAAAACAACAAACAAAATGATGTTCCCTGTTAAACGTTCCCTATTTAGCTTCATACTATACTCCTGGCAATATACCGAAAACGTACGACAATGATGAACGCTTCCGTAGAATGGGCATTCCCATTTATGATTATTCTTTTACTCGTGTTACTGATAGCTTAAAACGTTTTAACCTTTCTTTATTTTATGTAAATACCTGTGCATTGCATAACCCCTGAAACACATCCTTTCCCTTTTTTTTATGTTAGGTAAATGAACTAAGCACATCATGGAATCATTCAACTGGCCAGAATAATACCTTGGTTGTTAGGATTAGCAGATTATTAATGGGTGAAACTAATGTAGAAGCACTACTACAACAGAATAATAGTCTGTTCAGGAAACAGTGCATCGGTTCAGTGAATACAAATGGCGAAACCTACCTGCAGGACCGTTCCGATGTAACAAAATATAATGACAGCTCTAACCCAAGATCTAAAAGGAGCAATTCTGGTGGCAGTTCAAGGAAGAAGTCGAAAAGTAGGATGGATCGTGGTAACGTGGACAAATCCAACGAATCCTTAAATTTGAATAATTTTGATGATCATCAAGGCAAGGAAAAGTTTGGAGGATCCATGAGGTTCAGTAGCATGGAGACTCTGCTTGAAGGTCGAAGTGATCATGGTAACGACGTTGATCAGGGCGTTAGCGCGTCCATGCTCTTTGACAGCATGGATAGTATATTCGAGAAAGGAGCCGATGATATTTTTAATAATAAGGACAAAGTGCATAACTCTGCAAATGCTGACAGCATGGACAGTATATTCCAGGAAGCAGCCAATAACGATGATTCTAACAGAAGCCAGCAAATTACAGAATCCATGACCATTGACAGCACGGACAGTCTGTTCGAAAAACTGGATTATAATGATCTGGAAGAACAAAACAGCATGGTTCAATCATCAGAATATCATAATAAGGATAAAAGACTTTCTACTACAGCAGGATTGGATGTAGATGATGAAGTTGACAATTACATTGATAAATTAGGACCACCAAATGAATTGTCCGGCACACATAGTGGAGAGTTTTTTGAGAACACCTCTTCGGGCAAAATGCTCAGAAAATTAGATGTCAACGTTGGATCAGGGGGTTCCTCATGTGACTTACGAAATAAAGTACAAGGTGAGGGAACGAGAGAGAAATACAAACGATTCTCATTGAAGGGTAAAACGGATATGCGCAAACACGAGGACAGAAAATAAAATTTTTCGCGAACACTGTATGTGCCTCTTTTTCCGCCCCAAAGACAAACGCCACGTTGGGGAAATATAATATTCATCGAATCATATTCCATGCCTAATTGCAGGAAGCACCGGAAGCACAATGAACGGGAGGCTGAATGAAGCAGTTAACATCAAAACCGGAAGAGGCTTTAGTAGACGGAAAGATCCTGCATTTATTATATATAGGTACTGGAAGTCCTTCGCTGTGCCTATTTTGGTTTTGTGTGCAATAATTGTTGCTTTTGTCTTTACCCTGTGGGGTGTATATTGGGCTGTAGCTGGGCTTGTACTTTTGGACGGAGTTAAGTTTGCATTTGGGATGCTCCTGGCCTCCATGGCAGGTAGGGCGTGTATAACCAGTATGTTCTCATTTGGGCTATTCCGGTGCTGCTACCGAAAGCGAAGGCAAAAGTGCCGAAGAAGGTTTTGAAAGACCAAAATTTCAGCAGAACAAGATCAGCTACGAGTGGGACCGGAGAAAGCCGAAATACCAGAACCATCAGAAGTAACTTGGTGTATGCCACTTTCAGGCAGGCAACTACACTGTTGCTGTATGCTTCTATATATTTATTCGATTGAACCTCATATGATATTGCATACATGTTGTATGATATGGCTTATGATTTTTTATGCATTTATGTTATTGTTCCGTTTTGTACATTATAATATGGTTTACGTTTTTTCTAATATATATGTTGTGTGCATATATAATGCGGATTGTTTCTGTAATAATTTGGTCCATAGACACGATGAAAGGACAAAGCATTTGAAACAAAAAAAAAAAAGCATGCGTCCTTCTGTTATTCTATGTGTATATATAGCGAATAATTATTTGTTACATCGTATATGTGTAACATATATAGTACACAATGATCATCGTAGTTAATTCATACAGTGCCTATTCTTATAATATGTAACACATTTTCCCTTTCTTGTTTCCTTCCGTATTGATGCTTCCTTTCTGCTTCGTATAAACTTCCACATTGCCAAATGAAACGGTTTTACACCTTACCTCTGATATGCTTAAAAAAAGGAGGATATCTTACAAATTGTGAAAGTCAATATATGCGATAGGTTTCCACGCAAAAATAGCACGGCATATTTGCACGGATAATATATTACATCCTCTGTTCCTCCATATGTGCTGGACGAACACAGTGAAAGTGTGTACGGGGAAGGGAAGCTTGTGGCTACCTTGGCTAATCGAAGTTACCGAATGTAGCCGATGAATAACGTGAACATGGAAAATTTCCCAATACAGGAAATACTGGACCATATTGTACTACGGAAGGAAAATGGATAAATGGAGGGTGGAGTTTCCATGCGCTACGTCCTTTAGCATATTTTAAAGTGGCATACGTAACAACTTAAGCGCAATGGAAAAATAGATGGTGTGCCATAATTTCACCCTTTCCCTAGGCAGAAACCGCCGCAGCCACACACACAGCTAGAGTGTCACATTTTTCACTTTTGCTTCCACTTGAATCATGAGATCCCACACCTCCAAAATGGCAATATGTGCTTTTTTCGCCCTTTCACAATAATTCACGCCCAAAATGTAATTATGTACACACATATGCTATACGTACATGGTTGCCTACACCTAATGAACGTGAGGAAACTACTTTCTATTCTTACATTTCACACTACTCCTAATCAATAATATTCGCATAAGTTGAAAAAAAGGACGTTGCAGAAAGTCAAGGGTCATGATAACATTGTACCGGGCTGTGTTTTTTCTAACTTGTTCGTTTTGTTCTTTTTTTTTTCGGGGGCATATACATTTCCAGCACAACGCTGAAATTTCACTTTTCGTGCATTCCCATTTTTGCAGGGTACAGAAGAATACAATAATGTAGTTCTTTCTGCCATTTTGGCTTATATTCTTATTCTAGTTTTTAATAAATGGATTGTTCACTTCGCACAAAATGAGTCTCCTTGCTTCCATTTTCCACATTTCCTTTTTTTTTTTCCTTTGTTTTTCCTTCAAGTCTGTATGCTTATCCTAATATATGCAGACGCAGGGGTAAGGTAGGCAGACAGCAATTTTCCCCATCCAAACGTGGACACATTAACAGAATAAGACGTTCACCCTGTTTGTTGAGTGCTACAAAATGGATGATACATTCCTCAAGGGGGACATTTCCCTAGCAGACACTTTTGCCCTGTTTCTTTCCGCACATTTGCCATTTAAAACCTTCTTTTCATTTTATCCCTTGCGTATCCACTCTTAGTCTTATACTTTACATAAACTGGATGAAGGTACTGGCAGGCCTCCCCCTTCTGTTGCTCCATGTACGTCCTCATCACATCATTAGGCGATACATCTGTCCCCCTCTTGCCAAAAACAGTAATGTCGTCCACTTGGGATTTCTCTTCCTTGTTGCTGTCTCTACCCATGGGTGTTACATATAATGCACAATACTTTTCATACAGAGGCCGATATTTTCCCTCATAATTTCTCCTCAACGCGTGTAGGGAGTCCTCTAAGGCATCCCGTTTAATAACAACAAATTTGTTGTTCAATATGGTGCCATTGAAATTGTGAGGCAAAAAAAAAAGCGGCTTATCGAGTATGCGGTCGGGGGTTAGTGGGTGCCCCCTACCATCACTACCATAGTTGCCCTCATCAACGAGGTCATCTCCCGCCTGCACAACATTCTTCAACGTCCTACTTGCAATTTCTTCATTTTTCTTTTTCACATTTGCTATTTCAACCTGACTCAGTTCAGGCAATTTTAACTTGGATAAATAATTATACTTCTCCAGAGCGGGCAAATTACAGATGTACCTGTGGACCTCCTCAGACATGTTGCCCCAGGCGTGTACCTGCTTCCTCCATTTTTTCATTTCTTTATTCCATTGTGACAAGCTCAGATTCCTGTTAATGCGCGGAGTCTCCGGGTGCCAATCATTTTTCATATCTTCCCTTCTCTCTTCTTTTGGAACAGCACTGATGTACCTCTCATAAGATATTAGCCGCTTGGTCAAATTGATGTTTTTAATTCTTTGGTTAATTTGTGCCTGACTCAGTTCGTTCTTAACCCCCCGCGGTTTGTTTCTCTGGAAGCCTGCCTTGCCCTGCATGACGCCTTTCCAGTGGGGCAAGGCAGGCCATGGCCAGGCCCACGTAGGTACATACGTAAATACGCTCTCTTCTTCGTGTGTACCTGTTCTTTAAAAGACGAACGGGTTTAGCCGACTTTTGACTTCGTGCCAAGCCATTCTCCTCTTTTTTCTTTAAAATTGTGTGTTTGCCCTAGGGGGAACATGTGCGAGGCGTTCCGAGTAATTCCGAATTGGGTTCAACAAGGGCTTTCCACATTTCACATTCAGTTCTGTTTGCCGCACTGTGCCCTGTTAGCCAGTCAGCCGCTCTGCCCTATTATTTTTCTTTTACTTTTTTTTTTTGTTTTTTTTGCCTCTTACCATTTTTTGTGTATCACAGCTTTGTAGAAAAAGATGCAAACAAGGTGAATTTAAAAAAAAAAAAAAAAACACCGAACAAAACTTGGTGCACTTATAAGAAAAACCCGTGCGCGTGATAAAATATAGCTTGTTTTTTTTTTTTTCTTAATCTAAAGTGATGCCTTTGGAGTGAACTGAGAAATAAAGACCATTGATGTTTATGTTTTGGGAATGCTGTGGAGAGCGCCCCGCGCTCGTGTAACTGCTCAGAGTAGTGACATCGATTTGTGCACCTGACAGTCACATGAGTGGGTCTCCCCCTCCTGCCCATCCGGTAACCATGTTATGCATATCAGCTAAGAGAAGGCTCATCCCCGCGTTAATGTGCACAAGGGACAAAAGTAATTAGAATGGGCTTCAAAAGGGACGCGGCTCCTATCCTCTATCTGCGCGCAGTTGTGACTGTCCCCATTACCATATGCAGGAAAAAACGGAAATGCCCCAATACTTTACACAATTTCCTTCCCATGAAAGGGTTAAGAGATTGCATGACATGGTTCCTGCCCAACTCCTGCACCATTTGCCAAAAGGACAAACGAAGCCATTCCAGTTTTTGTCCTCCTGGAAAGCTAATAAAAGCCGGGGATTCTCGCTTCGTGTGCATTTTCCCGTACATGCACACGTAGAAGCGAATGGCGCACTCCTACCTGTCGTTTGTTCAAGCGTAGGGGCGGTCATCCACACATGTGCACACAATTCACAAAAGGGTTCACTCCAAAATGTGCACTTTGTCAAAAAAAATATACTATTCGTGCTAGAACCCATGCTAAGTGTTGCAAAGCGAAAGTGGCACGCAAAGTGAGAAAAAATGTGCGAAGCATGTCGTCCGCTCAGCTAAACGCACATGTCCACATGTGCATGGAAAAACGCAGACATGCAAACAGGAAGTCATTCTCCGCGAACTCACATGCACATGTCCAGCCGCTCTACCGCTTTCCAGCTAACTAGTGGCTTGTCGTTAAAGAACAACACATTTTGCTACGCTCCTAAGCGCACAACGCATGTCCTTGCGAGAGGCGAACAAAAATAGAGGCATGTCTAAACAAGCGTCCTTACCACTTGGAGCTGTAGTTAACTAGCCGTTTTTTTTTTTTTTTTTTTTTTTGTATATTTTACCTGAACAGACAGAAAGAAAAAAAAATAATAAAAAGCTTTTTTCTTTTCATATTAAGGAAATGGTATAATAAATGAACATTTTATTTTGAAAACAAAATAAAATAAAATAATAGCTATTTTTTTTTATTTTTCTTTTTCCTGCTACTTGTGCTACACCTACAAACAACCTCAAAATAACATTTGTTATGAAGTGTCACGCTGTTGAGTTACATTTTTTGTTCTTGCCCCAACTAAGACAAAATTGAACAACAGCACTAACGAATCAATCTACCGAAAGAATGTTTGCTTTTCTCCTTCCTCGTCACACTTTAAAACCTACACCATTCATCACTCACCACGCATAGTGCAACACTCCTTTTTGCCTATTGCAATTATTCTCTTTTCCCCTTCTACGGAGGCGTAATGAAAACTGGTGCACCGCAATAAACTCTTTGAGTGCTATCTCTTCTTGCCAAATCGTTAAGTCTATTTATTCACGCCAACTTTTTCTTAACCTAAGCATTGGCCGCTACGCTAACACCTGTGCATATAGCCCTTTCGCTCCAAATATTTTTACTAGCCACAATGGATGCCTCAAATTCGCCCGATAAAGGTAACAACAGCGATAGAATGTAACATGGACAGTCATTACACGCCATTTCATTTTTACATGCTCTCTCGTTCACGCATAACCTCTTCTACCTCGCTCTCTTCCCTCATGATGGACTCATCCGCAGACAACGTGCTCTCCTCGGACGGAGGTGCATCGGACACGTCAAGCAAGGAGCAGAAGGCGGATGCATCTAAAGGTTCTTCCAATTTGGCCAAGCTGGAACCAGTGGGCGAATCGGACAACCTCGCTTCATCAGACGCCTTATTCATAGGAGACACGGATTCTGCTACTATGGGAACGGACGACGACAAGGCAAACAAGTATAGAATGTTTCTGCAAAATTCTAGTGACCAGTACACAGTTCAACAGATGGAAAGATTTCTAAAGTAATCCACACACACACACACAAAAGGAACACATGGGATTTACAGAAACGGATACAGTTGTGTTTATGAGTGTATACTCGATTGAACTGCCATTTGAGTCCTTTTTTTTTTTTTTTTTTTTTT